CGAGGCTTGGAACAACCCGCCGCCTGTGCAAAGCCGCCCCCCTTGCGCGGGCCTTGGCTGGGCTCTCCCGCCCTCGCTCCTTTCCCCGAAGGCCCCTCCTAATCCCCTCGCCCGGCTCAGCGGGAGGCCCTAAGCTGCCTTTTCAGGCCCTTTCCTCGGCGCGTTCTGTCTCTCAGCGCTTTCAATGCCTCTCCCTGGCAGGAGACGTGTTGGACAAGGGGAGGGATCCGTCCCCTGCCAGCAAGGTCAAGGTGCGCTTAAAGGCTGCGTCTTCCTTCGGCTGGGCGGCGGGCGCCCTTGTGCCGGGTTTCAGGGGCGCGGGGGGTCCCCCCGGCCCCACCTGCAGCAACCTTTCTCGCCCTCCTGGAGAGGGCCCAGGACGCCCTGCAGGATGCCCCGCGGGACCACGACGCGCCCCGGGACCCACTTCTCCCCCACAACCTTGCCAGTGGTGGGGCGGCGCTCGGGTCACCACCGAACTGCCTTTCTGTCAGAGCCTTTGTACGCATTCAGCAGCTAACAGCCTTTACTGGCGTGGCGATGCCGCTCGCCCGCCTGCCGTGCAGCTGTTAAAGGCACAGCAGCCCTGGCAGGAGAAAAGTTAGCTGACCCTGGTAAGCGGGGAAATGTTGAGATGTTATTCTGAGTGGCTTAAGGCCAGGAAAAAGCAGGCTACCTCTGCACTGCTTCTAGATCAAGACAGCTCCAGAACCCCACAGAGAAAATCACAGGTATATTCCTTTTCTAGTTCACGGTATAAAAGACACTCCATCACCACTCCCTCTACCAGATTTTCTGGACTGAACCAGACCAGTGGTTCAAACTCACAGTCTTTGGAGAGTTTTCCACAACCAAGAAATGAAAACGGCAGTTCAGACTGTTCATAAGCATCTTAGACTTTAAGGCATCACAGAGCTTTTTGTTTTTATTACAACCTGCCCTCCCCTTGGGTTGCAAGTTCTTCTTAACGTTTTATTCTCAATGATTGAATAGAGGATTAAGCATCTCACAAGTTTCAAAAATAAGCACCATGAAGATGAGTGTGATCATGTTCTAGACTCTTCCCTTAGGGTTCACTGAAGATTTTTGGCTTCCTGAGCTGAGTGGTATCAGCCATAAATGAGAAGGCTCTGACCTCCTTTTATCCTCCTCTGATGATTTCTACTAAAGCAAAATGTGGAATGTGACATCCCTGTGCTTTGAGCTTCTCCACTCCCATCAGAGTGTGATGACATCATGTTCCACATTTTGAGTAACTAAACATTGAAGAAACAAGGTTTCTTGCTTTCAGTGACCACCATATGTTTCCAAGAAATGCCTAGTTCTGCCCTTATTTTGATTAAAGAAGCATTCTCTGACAGATTTTATCACTTCGGTTTTAATATTTATATTTTATTTCTAACTTTCAAGTGTTCAAAGTATTTCCCACATAGCGATCCTTCACAACAGCCCTGTAAAGCAGACCACGATTAATATCCCTGTGTATCGTAAGGATGCTTCCTCCCACCCTCCCAGAGGCCATAACAGCTGAATGTCCTGTGGGTCAGAGCAGCTGTAAGTTGCTACTCCAGCAGCTCACCTCTTCTCTTACTGTGACTTTTTCAAGATTCACATACAAATGTCTAAAAAGTGTTTTTTGGAGCATTGGTACTATATATGTGTCGGAAATGCTATTGTTTGTCTTCTTTTAATTGTGAATTAAATTTGGTCTCTGAATTGGAAAACCAAATTAGGGCAACTTTTAGATGCTTTTGGACAAAAGAAGTAATGGCAACCAAAATGTATGAGTGGAAGGGTTCCCTCTTTTCAGTTTGTCCCCCTTTATTTTCAGAATCTTTCCAAATGTAATACTTAGTGAGCCCTTGGGGACAGAGATGAATACTGATGAAACTTGATAGCCAAGCAAGATTTATAAAGGCGGTTATACCTGCTGGCCAGGCCTTCTGGTGCTACACTTTTATTGAGGTTCTTTCTTGTTAATAGCCCAGAATGACTCTTTTCTTCCATTAGAGTGAATGGGTAGGGAGTAGTTGAGGATCTCCCTTGAGCATTTTAAATCGGAGAGCTATCAGCCTTCTGCCCCAGCTAAGGAGGTATGTGTGCCTGCATGATGCATCTAGGGTCTGGCTTGGCAAGTCGTGCAGCCCCCAAAGGTCCCCCAGCTGTTGGCGGCTTTTTCTGTGGCCACCGTGAGGTGACCTGAGCCCCAACCTGCTCGGGAATTGCTGCCACTGGGGTGGTAAAGGCAGGTGGGTGGGACAGCAGCAGGGCGGCAATGGCAGCCAGGATGGCACGTTGGGACAGTGATGGGCCTGCTGTGGTTGCCTCGTGGGGCATCTGGGAGGTCTTGGGGGTAATTGTGCTGTGCTGCATTGCCTCTGTCGGGAAGACTGAGCCAAGGAAGCTCACCCCGTGTCTTGGCCAGCAAACTCAGCAGTGTGAAACTGGGGTGACGGGGGAGGATTCCAATGGATGGCAACCCTTTCCCTTCCTATCTGAAACCCGGAAGATTTAGAGAGCCAGTGGCCCATGGCAGGGCAAAGGAACCGGTTGAGGTAGAGCCAGCCAAGGCTACCCCACTTCCTTTCACAGAGTTTAAGGTCACCATGAATGCACGTAGCAATGATGAAAACAGAAGGCATGCTTGGCTTTTACTCCTCTAAAGCTTTTCCAGTCTTCTGGCAAAATGTCAGTTCTCACTTGATTATTCTGCTTGTGCGAATGCATCCCCTCGCTTGTTTCTGCTCCACCACTGCCTCTCGAGCACCCGTCTGCCACCCTGTGCTGCGCAAACCACGATCCAGCGCTGGCGTTTGTCAGGAGGGTGTGGCCTCTGCGCTGCGGTTTTCTTCCCCTGCTCAATATTGCCAGGCTGGTGATGCCAAGAATGTGATGGCAGCGCAGCCTCTTCTATTCATTTCCATAGCAATGATCCTCTTTTTCTCCTGCCAGCAATACTCAGCTAGCCAGGCCTTTTGTGGCTGGTTTTAATTAAAAGGCTCTTAAGTGTGAGACAAAGGCAAAGCTTAAGGGGGTCTGTGCAAGGAAGAATGGGGGTGGGGAAAACTCTTCCCTCCTTCCAGTCTGGTACGTAACCATTCACCCTAACTCCACCCCAAACCGCCAGGCATCAACAGGACGCATAATGAAGCACTCTCAGGCCTGGCCGTTTTGGCATGGGCAGGAGGGAGGGCAGTGATGGGGCAGAGGGCATTGGAGAGGGGAAGCATTGTGCTCCGAGACACATCCTCCCATCGCAATCCAAGGCAGAGTTCCACATCGGTTGAATAGTCCCGGTGGGGGGGAGGGGCGGGGGGTGGGTTGGGGGGGCTTAAAAAGAAAATCCTTGTTTTCTGCAAGAAGAATCACTTAAGCATCCGTGCTGTTATTTCCATATATACTCTCCTGGGATCTTCATCCAGTGTCAGGTCACATTCTAAAGTCCACCTTCACTGGATCACTTTATCTAGCTATGTTTAAAGCACAGAAGACATGCAGGCTTCTCTCCCCCACTCTTTTCCCCAATGCAATGCTGCACCATTTTTTAAACTTCCCTGTCCAAGGCATGAGCCCTGCAAAGTTAAACACATTTAACTCTTGTTAATTTCCAAGTACATCACTTTCTCCTGCTAAAATCAGTGGAATTTGGCTGAGATCATGCTTTTAATTGTTTTTAATCTATTGTGTATTGTCTACTTATGTAAGCAGTTGCGTTCATAAAAACAATCCATTATACATTAAAAATAAACAAGACAGAACAGAATGGGAAATTGTTCTCATACTGGATCACACATGTAACCTTTCATTTTAAAGGGAGGAGAATGGAGAGAGCACAAGCACAGCTATTCCCTCCGCATGTCTGCTCATCCCTCACTGTGAGTTCTCCCTGCTGTGTCTTCCACATGTGAATGGTACTGAAAATGGGGAAATATTGCACAAAGGTGGAAAAATGGTTGGAACATGCTTTGAAGTTTGACAAACTGAGCCAAAAGAGTCCTTTACACCCAACATTTACCGTACAATCTACACTGAATCAATAGAATGCCAGGGGGACTGAGGCAGAGCAAGTAGGGCCAGTTTCTGGACCCATTTCAGTTGGGGTTTGGGCTTGGTTACTTGCCTGGAAATGGATGAGCTCCGGCCAGACAGGATTGAAATAGGGGGCCTATAATGTTGCTTCTTCTCGACTTCTCAGCAGCTTCTGATGCCATTACCCATGGTATCCTTCTGGAGCACCTGTTGGAATGAGGTGTGGGCATATCCTTTTTGCATTGGTTCCACTTTAATTTGGATGGGCTTTTTGAGAACATGGTGCTATGGGATTTCTGTTCAACTCTACGACATCTTCAGTTCAGGGTTCCATAAGGGTCCTTCTTGTCTCACATGCTAAGTGAGGTCATTCTGAGGCTTGGAGTGGGTTGTTACCAGTATGTAGATGATATGCAACTCCATTTTCCTTCTCTTTTGAGCCAAGTGAGGCTATCAGGGAAATGGACCGGATGAGGACTAACACACTGAAGCACAATCTAGGCAACTATCTCAGGTAGTACCCCAGACCAGATGAGTGGGATTCAACCTATTCTTGAAGTCCTGCAGCAAGATGAGATATGTAGCTTGAGAATGCTCTTGGACCGATACATTCCAATGGGAGTGCCTTTTACTAGCTTTAGCTACTGTCCCTGATAAAGTGTTTTCTTTCACCTTATCCAGAGGTAACTAGCACACATGCAGCAATTCATGCCCCAGTAACCTCCCAGTGGGATTATCATAATGTACCGTACAGGGAGATGTTCTGGAAACTTCACGTAATACCAAATATGGCTGTGAGACGCCTAACTGGGACCAGACACAAAGCTTATATTATACTGGTCCTGTGTCACCTCTACTGGCTCCGAATTTGTTTCTGGACCCGATCCAAAGTGCTGGTTTTGACTTTAAAAGCTCTAAATGGCTTCAGACCTTGGTACCTGATGAAAGGCCTTCTTCCCCCATAGGTACCTGCCCATACCTAGTCCACAGAAGCCCTTCTTCAAGTGCCCCTTATGCTAGGAAGCTCTCCCAAGGGAAGCAGGCCCAGCAACCACACTGCCATCTTAGCACTGTTTTCCCGGGCTTTAAAACATCTCCAATGTCCTTTAAAATGTGTTAATATTTTTGTGGTTTGTTATCCTAGTTCCTGCAATGTGATAGTGCATTTTATGCATCTTTTGTTTTATACTGTTGATTTTATTCCTATTTTATCATGATAGTAAAATACCTAGAGAAATGTATGAGACAGTGAATGCACAAACAAATTAGTGAAAGTAAATGGCAGACAGAGAGAGACAGGAGGCTCTGGGCTGAAGGGTGAGGGGTGCCAGTGACACAGCACCGCCCAGGTCTTGATCTGCAAGGAGACAGCGCAGAAGAGGGCAGGGCAAGAGGCTGTGCAGTTGGCCTGGTTTTCCTCTACCATGAACATTTCTGATAAGATGCAAACTCTTTGAGTTGCACCTTCCCCCGCTGCCATCACTCAGATTAAAGATGTACTTGTCTCCCCTTTGATGCAAGGTTCAAACCTGAAACAAGAAAAACAAGGACAAAAACAGAGTGTTTCCCCGCCATTACTTACAAGCAAGCATGCACACATGTTAGCAATTAGAGGTGAACTCCCAAGTAGGTTTGAGGCCAGGAACTTCTCATTTTAAGAGTTAAATGCTTCACTCAGGTCTGAGCACCTCCTCACACACATATTTTCCATTCATAAGTGGATTTTCTCTCCCAATAAGTTAAGATTTTTGAATTAGTTTAGAGTGACTGAGCATTCAGAACATTGTATATTTCTAAAGAGATGCTTACAGAAACCTTCCCATTTACTATGGAAGCCCAGCTGTGAAGATGAGATGTATGAAGTAGAGGCACTCTGCACATGCTTAATGGCTCACTGGCTGATTTGCAGACCCCCGAATCAACTTTTTCAACAGAAATCACAAAGACCTGAAATTTCATTCATTGTTACACATATTGTTTATTACATTTCTGTCCCATCTAATAGCCAATACACTCTGGGCTGTTTGCAAAAGATTAAAACTTTTTAAATAAAATATAAAAGGTAATATTAAAACCACTGACAGCAAAAGAAGAAGCGGATGGCAGAGAATGAGGTGGCTAGATGGAGTCACTGAAGCAGTTGGTGTGAGCTTAAGTGGACTCTGGGGGATGGTGGAAGACAGGAAGGCCTGAAGGAATGTTGTCCATGGGGTTGCAATGGGTCAGGCACGACTTCGCAACTAACAACAACAACATTAAAGCCACTTACAGAAGCCTTTGAAAACATAACTGAGAACTTGTGCTCATCATGAGTGAAACAGTTCTGTGGGCCTCCAGTTGGCAGCTCACTCATGCTCGTGCACCATTAGTATGAGCAATGTTAACAAGAAAGAAGAAAACAGAAGCACACCAAAGAGCCCCGAAAAGGGCAAGAGGGACAGCTGCTTTTCAGCATCCGTTGCAATGCCCCCAGCAAAATCCAGTCATGCAGTGGTAGCACACCACCAAGGAATGCTCCCCCTCGGCAACCAGGCACAGGAGCTGAAAGATGCCCCAGGGTGGACAGAGATACCTGCAGGAGCGCCCACTCCACTGCTTGCAAAAGGAACAAAATGGGGCTGGGACCTTTTCTATACATAGTGAGATCTGGCATGGTTTTACTTGTTCACTTGTTTGGTTGTTACATTAATGATGTATTATAAATTGTTACTGTATTTGATTATATATTTTCACTTTTAACCCTCCCAGGAAGCCTTATAGCTAATGGGGTGGGATAACAACAACAACAGTGATAACAATAATACAGGTTCAGTAGAAGTACACATTGAACAGCAGGTTTAGTTTAGAGAGTGTTGCTTGTACCTGGATGTGTTAGAATCTATGCTGGGAGACTTACAACAAAAGGTTTAAAAAGTCTGTTTACTCACAAACAATCCAGATGTGACTTGCATGAAGGAGAGATGTTGTATGTCCATGCAGGATCTACTGTTCACAAGGAAGGTCCATGGTTAGATGGTTAGCTTAGAAGTGGAGGGTGGGGGCGCAGTGGCAAAGGTCAAATGAGTCCTTGCCTTTCCAGGTCAGCTGGGAGGAGAAAAGGGACATCAAAGGCACTGCTCAAGCAGAGATGTCAGCCTCGTTTTTTCTATGGCATTCACCCGTTTCCTCCTGCTCTGGCCAGTGGACAGAACCATGCAGTCTGAATGCAGGCAACACTACACATACCTAACAAATGGATGCTATGGCACCCTCAGCTATGGTGCAATCTTAAGGCCTACCTAATTTGGGCCACATTTCCCTTCTCCAAACAGCCCCCACGCCCCACAATCCGCCATGGCCCAGGAGAGCCCCTAAAGCTCTGGACAGGCCTGCTGATGAACATGGGTCACTGTGGCACAAAGAAAGGGTCAGGCCATTCCCATGCCATGAATTTCCTTAAGGGCGATGCCTTCTGCACGTGCACATAAGCTTCCAAACTCAGAGGCATCCAATGCATGGTGCAAGGCATGTGGTGGCAATTCTGCTGCCACAATGCCCAACACACTAAATTTCCTGTAGACAACCATTTTCAGCCATTCAGATTTTCCAAAGAAGACTCCAGGAAAGCCTTGACTGTGTGAATGGTCCTGCAAGAAATGGGGTTGCCTCAACTCTTGATTGTCCTAAAGCTTAACCTGTACCACAGTCAAGGAGCTACTCTCAGGACAGAATATAGAGAAGCAGAATGGATTCCTATAGGCAAAGGCATCAGTCAAGAATGCATTTTATCTCCATGTCTTTTCAATCTGTTTGCAGAACATGCCATAGGGAAGCTGGATTAGAATCAGGAAGAGGAGTGAACATGGTAGAAGACATCAGTAAGTTAAGATATGCCGATGATAATATACTATTGGCAGGAAGCAGCCATGAATTGAAATTACTCCTGATGAATGTGAAAGAAGAAAGCGCAGGACTGCAGCTGAATGTTAAAAAAAAAAACAACAAAAATCATGACTAGAGAAGCATTCTAGAACTTCACTGTCAACAATGAAGAAACTGAACCCATGGAAGAGGTTGCATACCTTGGTTCAGCCATCAATTCAAATGGCGAGTGCAGCCAAGAAATTTGAACATTGAGACTTGGAAGGGCAGCAAAGAAGGAATAAGAAAAGATCTTCATGTGTATGTAATCTTTGGTATTCGTAGGCTTAGTGAACAAGATACAAAAGGTCACCTTTATTAACTGTGTCACAGTCCAGAACATTCCTGCCTCATGTTACAGCACCATGTGTCCCCTTATATACCAGTTGGTTTGACACCAAAAGGAGTCCCATGTGGCACAAAGCAAAGCTCAAACACCATCACATCTCTTCTTTTTCCCATTCCCCATTTCTGTATCTTACAGGTTTGCTCAGTATTCTTCGTTTAGATGCGATCACTGGTATCTCCTCTAACTCCATCTTTCCAAAAGTATTCCATTCTAATTTCACACATTCGATTCTGCTGTCATCCTTCCCAATCTCCTTGCCATGACTTTCCTCACACATCCTTTCAGTCTCGTGTAAATCCTTTCTGTTTCTGCTGTACAACCTTGCATCTTGAGACTTTACCACATACTATCTAGGAGTTTGATTTTGTTAATTGCCTTTGAAGGTTGCCACACCCCCGTTTTTGAATTGTAATTTTTTCTCCCTACTTTCAATGGTGAGAAAGAGTCCCTCAGTCATAATAATATTCCTGCTTTTCCTGTCTCTTTTCTAAACTGTTTTGCACTACTACTACCTGATTGCTACAATGATTTTGCTGTGGGTAATCATGCTTTCAAACATCGTCCCATTAGTAATTGTGCTGGAGGCTGTTTATCTAAAAAGGTATATTTCTAACATATGGATGTATATTATCCAAACTACTCCTCTTTAAGTTCTTCTTAACTGTTTGAATAGTTTTTGCAGCCAGTCCATTTGCTCTTGCATAATATGGACTAGAAGTAACATGCTCAAAATCCTGTTCTCTTGCAAGCATTCTAAACCCCTTAGAATTAAATTGGGGACTATTAGCATTGTTACAGTTTCAAGGTATACCATGCCTAGCAAATAGCTTTACAATGCACAATCACACATTTACTAGCTCATTGTCCAAAAAACAAACTCCCAAAAACTTTGAATATAATTTACTATCAAAAGATATTTCTTCCCATGAAGCTTCCCTTTACCAGTTTTTGCCATGGACTTTCTGGTACTTTATGAGATAACATTGCTTCCTTTTGATTGTTTATCCTTTGGAAAGTTTGACATACTTTACAAGATTGTATTAATTCTTCTATTTGCATACACATACCTGGTGAAAACATCACATCTCGAGCTCTTTTACGCAATCCAATTCTCAAATTACTTTCATGAAGAAATGATTTTCAACATTTCTTTCCTCAACTTTTCAGGTTCAATTAGTCTATCATTTTTAAATATTAAATCATCAGGTTTATATATTATATTCTGATGATATTTCTGTAATAACAACATCCATCTCTGAATTCTTGGAGAAACATTATATAATGGCTTAAAAATTAACTTCCAATTATTTATGGTCACTTTCTATTTTTATTTCTCTATCATACACGTATTGCCATCTATGCAACTCTTCCTTAATTTGTTGGCTTGACATTTCAACAATCACTTCAGTTTTATTTTTATCAGGTTTTATTCCTTCAGTAGTGATGTCCCAAGTATTTTATTTCAGTCATAGAAATTTTGCATTTCTCTCTATTCAGTTTCAGATTCTTTACTCTACACCTTTCTAAGTCTTTCATCATGATCTAGTTGTATCTTTCCCCATAATATTATATCATCTATGTAACACATAACTCCTTCTAATCCTTCAAGCACTTGTTGTATGGTACTTTGATATACCCCAGGAGCTGATGAAATTCCAAAAGGCATTCTGGTAAATCTGTATCTACCAAAAGGTGTATTAGAAGTACACAATCTGGGACTCTTTTCATCAGATGGTATCTGCCAGAATCCATTGCTAGCATTCGTCACTGAAAACAGTTCTGCACCTGCCAGCCTGCTAGTAATTTTGCCTGCTGTTGGAAATGGAGGGTGCTCTCTCTGTGTATGGCTTTGTTCATACTGATTGGATCCAAACAAATTCTTATTTGCTCTTCACCAGATTTATTTACAACCTGGTATTTAATTTTTACAAGTTAAAAATTAAATTACTCATTCAATAAACCAATTATTTACCCATTCAGTTGATTCTTCTACTTTCAACAGTCACACCCACTTGCTTCATTCTTCTAAGTTCCTTTTCTAACCTTTCCTTTAACATAACTGGAATTTTACAAGAAGCATGTACTACAGGTGTTTCCTGTGGATCCATTTTGATTTCACACTGACCTGGAAGACATCCGAATCCCTGAAACACATCTTCATAATGCTTATATATTTCCTTGCCTTCCTCACATTCTAACACATTGACTCTTTTCATTAGCTCTAAATCAGTAACTGCTTTTGAATCCAAGATTGATTGTGCTTCAAAATCTACTATGTGAAATTCTAATTCAAATTCTTTCTCTTTCAATATACACCTCATAATACACTTCCCCAGCACTTTCAACCTGGTACCTGCATAAGTAATGAATCTTTCATTAAAGTTTTGTAAATCTTCACTCTGAAGACTCTTGTAAGTTTTAAGGACATAGAATTAGCCTGTGCTCCAGTATTAATCTTAAACTTCACATCCTTATGGTTTATTTTGAGATCTACATGCCATTCATCTTCCAGTAGGTCAGATGTTAAAGTCTAAATACACATAACTTGCAAATATTCTTCCAACATACACATATTCTTGTGAACAAGCTTTGGTCTTATATATCTTCACAAAATGATAAGATCTTTCATATTTTCTACATTCTTTTGCATATGCAGGACATTGACTTATCTCATGATTGTTACCACATATAGAACAAAACTTTACATTTGAAGCCACAGTTGAAACAAGTTGCACAGTCTCATTAGGCAGCTGAATATTCTTTTTAATACTGTTTTTGCTTTTCAAAATATCTCTCTTGTAGCTGATCCTAGTCCTTTTAATTGTGTTACTGTCACATCTTCTGCTCTACAAATGCCCACAGCTTTTTCCAAGGTCAAAGCAGCTTCCCTAAACAGCCTTGTTCAGAAATTACCTGATCTTGTTCCACAAAGAATTCTTCAATTCAGTCACACAGGAGTCAATTTCTTCCTCTTTCTGTGTTCTTGAGAAGAACTTGTGCATTTCTTGTGCCCAGATTTCAGGAAGCTTCAAGTGATGCATCTCCTTTCACTTCTGGCAAGGAGAGTTTGGTGTTCTTAATCTTACACAGAACACCATCTCAACAAGATGCAAAAGGCCACCTTTATTTACTGAGTCATAGTCCAGAATATTCCTGCCTCATGTTAGAGTACCACATGTCCTCTCATACACTAATCGGCATAACACCAAAATGAGTCCCCCATGTGACACAAAGCAAAGCACAAACACACATCATTACAGTGTAAGGGCACTTCACTGGAGCCTGAGGCCAAGATCGTCCACACAATTGTATTCCCAGTCACTATCATATAAAACGTTGGATTCCCTGTGCGTGAACTCTCTGTAACCTTGCTGAGGCTTCATCCTGAAGAGTGCCCTTCAAGTGGTAAACTTTGTTTATCTGTGATAGACAGACATTAGGGTGTGTATGAATGAATGACTACTGATGTAACAGAAACTGCTCAGCTGAAACAGCTCCAATCATGCTCCACTAGCATGAGAACTACTGGACATGCACCGAGAAGACAATTGCTGGCATCTAACAGTCTGCTTAACTGCCCACTGTTAAGATAAGTGTGGAATGTGACCTACTTTCTGTAGCTAACAGTGCACAGAAGGCGGGATCAAAGTGCACATGGGATAGGTCAAAATGATGGATGAGTTTGCTCTAAAAGGTATAAAAACATTTGGATTGTTAGTGGGGGGTGCTGCTCTCTTGGAGGAGTGGGCTGCTCTGTATTGTTGTGTGCTTGCTTCAATAAAGAACATTTTTGATAGGACTTGCTGGTGGTTTGGCTCTCGCAGTCAGAAAAACAGACGGAGTTAGACTCCTTGACAAGTATGAGTGGATGTGAAAACTGGACAGTGAAGAAAGCTGACAGAAAGAAACCTGATGTGTCTGAAACATGGTGCTGGAGTTTGTGAATACTTTGCACCAATAGAAAGACAAAAATGGGGGTCCCAGATCAAATCAAGGCAGAACTTGCCTTGGACGCAAAAATGACAACAGTGAAGCTGTCGTACTGTGGGCATATCACAAGAAGGCAAGATTCGCTGGAGAAGAGAATCATGCTAGGGAAAGTTGAAGGGAGAAGAAGAAAAGGAAGACCAAATGCAAAATGGCTTGACTCCATAACGGAAATCATGATCTTGAGTTTGCTAGGGCTGAGCAGGGATGTCAAGGACAGGCCATTTTGGAGGGCTTTCATTCATAAGGTCACCGTAAGTCCTAGAGGACTTGATGGCACATGATAACAACAACAACAACAGATGGTTCCGTGGAGGAAGCAAAGAAGGACCCTGCAGAGCCATTTGGATATGGTGTAAGCTGTCAGCCCAGCCTCCTGCGCTCCTCAGCCCCTTGCACCCTCCTGCTTACTGCGGCTGGTTTGCAACTTCAGAGAGGTAGCCAGTCCAGTTTGCTGGGGCTCTGCATTATCTTGTGCTCCTGAAATACAAACCCATGCCAGGAGGCCATAGGATTGCATCCAACCTCGGGCAGTGCAACCCTAAGATTGTTTACTTAGAAATAAATTGCGCTGGGTTTCATTGGGACTTAACACTCAGGGTAGTGTACAATAAATTTCATTTATTTCTTTAAACTGCTGCTATACCATTCAACATCCTAGAATTTCCAAGTGGTCTGTGTAGCATATTCAATATAATATAAACATCAATATAAAACAGGATAAAACAAAACATGCCATTAAAATATTACAGCAAAGCAGTTTAACAGAGTGGTATCATGGCTGATTACAGGAAAAGCCCATATGCATTTTTAGGAGATGTTCAAAGCTCACCAGTTTATGCTTCTTGAATCAAATGTGAGAGTCTTTCTTACAGCTGTCTGCTTTCATGCCATTACCTGTCGACACAATGTTGGTCACAGAATGGCCAGTGAAGCTTCCTTGGAAGTTTATTATGATCACATCCTCCTCCTAGGTTTATTGAAAAAGCAGAACTAGCACTGGGGCTTCAGCAAAAATGCTCCAGGTCAGACCTCGGAATATGCTTTAGTGAGCAGAATCAGACCAACTCCTCTGCTGCTGTTCTTTGTGCAGCACAACTGCAATATTACATACTGAACAGAAAAATGAAAACAACAATCTAAAATATGCATGGAAAAGAGAGGAGGAAAGAAAAGAATTAAAGCAGCAAATTGGAACTTAGACGCAACATTTGATAAAAGTGGGAAGCATGACAGGATTGATTGGAAATTTGCTTATGAATGTGCGCATGCACAGACACGCACACGGAGTGCTCCAGTTCTCAGTTCTAGCCAGCCATGCCATGGTGTAGATACTCCATCCCATTTCCCCTCCTCTGAGCATTCCATGACCACTGATTATGCTCAGTCGTCACTGAGCTGGCATCTTCCCTCCACTTCTCCAAACATTGAGGTTTCCCTGGTACTTCCTTGGTAGAGGGATGGTGCCATTTAGAAAAGCTCTGAAAGAGGGGCAGGGAAAATGGATATAAGGGGATATAAGGAGAGTGTTGCTCTGACCGTGTGGAGTGCTCTTCTCTTGTTCTCAAATAACCAGAGCTGGCCCTCATACTCCCAGGACTAGCCTGGAATTCCAGTGCTGTTTCCTTCAAGCTAAACACAAATGTTATGCAATATATGGCAGTACAAACAGCTGAGGGGGGTGTAGGAAAGAGCAGGAAAGAGCAGGGGAGGGCTGCTGCCCCCGGGGTGGGGAATACAGCTAATTATTTTCCGTGTAGCAAATCTCTTAATGTGGCAAGATATTTGTCATAGCTCTCTGGAAGGTCCCAGGCCCTATAAATAGCTGTCTGCTTTGGCAAATTCAAGGCGGTGGAAGTGAAAGGAAGCACATGAGAGTGTGCCAGGCCTGGCTCCACAGCCTTCAAGCCCACCTGCGGTCTCCCTTAGCCACCTCCCCTTGCAATATCACTTTCCCGTGGAAGGATGTGATAATTTCCAGCTGTCCCAGCAGCCGGGCACAAGTTGCCAAAATCTGTGGTATGCTCTTCTCTTTAGATTTATTGGGTTCCCTATGATCCATTGCAGGCAACAGAAAGAAACTGCATCTTGCAGTCCCAGCACACTGCACAGTCCTGTGCTAAAGAGGAATCTTGTCCCTGATTGTTTGCTCCTGGAAGTGTATTGTGGCCTCAGTCCTCAGTTTGTTTTAAGGCTCATTACTGCTTGTTGCTGGAAGGGGGAGAGGGGACTGTGGGATTTTCTGCCTCAGGTGCAAAAATGACTCCACTGGCATTGGTGCTATGTACTTCAGCTCGGGGTAGGGGGTGGGGGGGATGACAATGACAACACCCCACCTGCATTTTCACCCAGGCAGCAAAAAGCCTGGAGCCGTCCCATCGCAAGGGCTCTGAGTGGCCATAGTCGGGGACAGAATGCCGAGGTGTGTGGGTATTTTGTCTGAGCCGGGCAGCATGGGAATTCTTGGGTGCTGGTCTGGAGTTCTGCGTTCACGTCTGGGTGCAACAAGTTCAAGAACATCAGTAAGCTGCAAAGGGCACCAAGCAAAGCTGCACACATGCCAAGGGGAAAAGTCTTTGAAAACAAAACACATGAGAAGTTTCTTAGCTTAGCAAAGGGGGTGGCGGCTTTGAGCGGGTCCTTCTTCAGAGCCAGGCATGGGAGGCACGTCCTAAAACAACTTTGGCAGCCAACACAGCTCTCCAGAGAGCCGGCCCCCTGGCCTGGCTCATGCCAAGACTCTTCTCAGCACAAGGCAGAGGGTAAGTGGCTGAGAGGAGCTACCGCCCTTCCGTGCTTCGGGTGGCTACTCTGCAGAGGCTGCTCTCTCACTGCAGCATTTGCCACAGCAAGGGAACGGGACCAACCAAGCTCTCCAGAGCACCTGCTAGTTTCACCAGCTGCTCTGAAAAGCCCCACCAGCCCCTCTTTCCTGCTGCATGAAATGCCACATTGGGAGAGGGGCCAGCACAACTTTCACAAAAGCATGCTGGAGGATGTGGGGCTGGGCCAGGCTGGTGGGGGCAGCAGGAGCAGTGCAATTCCACCTTCCTCCTGCTCTACTACCTGAGGTGTGTGGGGGGGAGCAACTTTACCTTACCTCGTGGGAGGACCAGCTCTATTTGAACAGGGCGGTAAGCAATAGCGAACATGGGATGGTGAAGTAATAATCTTTTCAGCAGCGTGTCTGCTACATCTCATCTTCTCACAGCAGAATCCACCAGTAAGCTACCCAAGCAGGCCCAAGGTTTTGCAGAACAAAGTTTGAAGCCCACTGGTCTCAGGGATCTCTTTCCCATCCTGCAGCCCTACAAAAGGGCAGTGACATCCACTGGTTTGAGCAGATGATGGGCGAGCGAGCTCCCTGTCGAGTGCCAATTTGAGCCACATGCAAGAGAGAGACTCTGCGAAGGTCCAACAGACAGCAGCGGCAGATGGTCAGGGGCTGTCAACTTCCTTCCTCTCCAGACGCTAGCTATGGGTGCAGGCCTTTGTCTCCCTGCAGCATTGCCGTCCGCCCTCAAGGGGGCCACTGGTATACCGCTGCCGCCGCCACCCCGCCCCCAAGCAAGCACGGATTCCAGCCAGGCCTAGCTTGACACGCACAGCTGCAGGATCCATACCTAGGCTCCTCGCTCCTCGGCTTTACTCTGCACAACCCCACACACGCTGGGTCAGGAGGACCCTCAGCTGTTCTCACTGAGCAGGGACAGCAACTGGAGTGGTGTGTGAACATTTCATTAATCAAGTGCATGGCATTTGGAATCTCCAAGTGAGTCACAGTCTTGGGAGCAAGAGTGGGATCAGCTTTTCTTCCAGCGCCTCCTCTCCACCTCCAGGGTGTTCAGATAATGCCAGCTCACCCCTGCAAGAAGCACCCCACCCTCTCCAGTGCAAGTTTAATATAGCTAAAGCAGTGGCATGAAAGATACTTTCAGTAAAGTTGGGCTTAAATGTATTAATGTTATCAGACCCAAATTAAATTTCCCCCTTACAGTCTTGCCTCCTTGGCATCCCTGCCCCAATCAGTCCCCATCACACAGCACCCCAGCCTGCTTTCTTTCTCTGCAACATCTCTGCAACTATCC